TTTTTTTTTTTCTCTTTCTCTTTCTTTTTCTTTTCTCGCCGCATTTATAGACGAGAGTATTGAAAGTACGGTTGCTACATAGATATATATGTAATTACAAGTTTTTTTTTTTTCTTTTGAAGAAAAAAAGGAGCAGGAATACGTTTTTCTATCGAAATCATCATTATACCAGACGTTATATATTCATCTTCCTCTGTCTATATATATAAAACCATGACAACAAGTGACTATTCGACACGAACAGCAGTTTTGCTCGATACGGTGCATGAGCATGATCATGAACATGACCATGATATGCATCATGAAATGGATCTTAACAGTTATGTTCGACCAATGGTAAGTTAAAAATAGTAACGAAATAGAAATAAGGAAAAAAAGAAAAAAACGAAAGAAATTTCGAATTCATACAAACTTCTAAAAAAAAAAGAATAAAAACAAACATCACCCACAACACCCTCATTTAGAATGAAGCCAATACTACAGGTGGTATTGATCAAACGAATTTGGATCGATCTATTTTATCAAATAAACCAAATTCAGATACATTATCAAAACGAAATCGTATACCACCCGTATTTTTACCACGTACTAATGCAAATGATAAAAAAACGAGTACAATATCAGCTAATTCAGTTGTTATACTTTCAAATCCAACAAATAATACAACTGGTCCAGGTGGTGGAACAAATGGTCGAGAAGATATTTGTGAACATTCAAATATTGTTGCTGCACTTTCTCAACATGCAAGTGCTGCTATGCCTGTTGCTTCATTAGCATTATTACCACCACCACAAAAAATACAATCAACAAATATAAATTCAACAACATTAACAGCAAAACAACTTTTTGGTCGTGTTCGTTCTCGTTCTAAATCTGATCCACAATCTGTACCTGATAAATCACTTTTTTCAAAATTTTTTCCGAAAAAAACTAAAAAACCTTTACCTACATTATTAACAACAACAACAAGAGCAATTGAAAATCAGACAAACATAAATAGTAATAAAAAACGACAAAATATAAATCATAATAATTTATTAACAACAAATTATCAAAGATCGAATAATTATGAAGATGACGATGATGAACTAGATGAACGTACTGCATCTGCTGGTTCATTGTCAGATAATGATCGTCAGAATAATAAACATGATAGAATAAGTAGTAATCGAAGTTCAAATACAGTACGAGGTGGAAGTAGAACAAGTAGTGGAAGTGGAAAATATATTAGTGCTGGACCCAATGCTCTTTCATTACCGACATCGGATTCACAATATTATGCCTCGATGTCATCGGCACCAACTGGTTTTTCAATTTCATATCATAAACGTATGTCGAAAGGCAATGATGAGCTACGACTACAAACAACACTTAGTCGACTTCAACAGCAAAGTAAACAAGGAACGACGACTAGTGGAGGAGCAAGCCAATTACTGGTATGTCACTTGTTATATAGGGTTAATGTATATTTTTTCTTTTCCTTTTGGCACGACATTCTCTTCTGTTCTCTTTTGCCTTCACTCTTTCTCTCTCTCCATTCATTGTTCTTTCGTTGTCGTATCGTAGGATTCAGTAATTGTTTATTGTTGGCATATGTCCAACATGACATAGAATAGACTAAGAGAAAAGAAAAAACGTTCAGAAATGAAGAACAAAAAAAAAAAAAAAAAACAAGAGAAATTTTCTAAATTTCATGCTGCTTTGCATGCTTGCTTGCTTGCTTAGATGCTTATTTATTCTTATGTATATTTATTTTTTCTACTTTGAAATTCATTATATATTATTCATACATTGTATTTCTCGTATTATTATAGTCACTCTTTCAAGATCCAAAACGAAGTGGTAAGATAAAATGATATAATTATGTTTAATACCAAAAACAAAAAATATGTATATATATGTATATATATATATGTAGGTGCTCAAAGTCCAAATAATTTAACTGGTTCAGCTCGTGTTGGTAAAACACTTTCTGGTCAAACGATAATAACTAAAAATAGTTCATCAGATCAACCGTCAATATATTGTATACGTCCAACAGTTCGTATTTGTATTAATTTAAAGAAAAAAGAAAAAAAACTCTTTATTTTTGTTTCCTTTTAGTCAACTTCACCAACTCAAGATGTTGATGATACATTTAGTAAGAATATTTAAATTATTTAAATAATTATTTTCTTTCTTTCTTTCTATTTGTTTTTTAGTAAGTGATGATGAAATTTATACACAATTTATGAGAACTCATACATGTTATGATATAATGCCAAAAAGTTCTAAACTTGTTGTATTTGATACACAATTAGCCGTAAAAAAAGCATTTTATGCACTTGTTCATAATGGTGTAAGAGCTGCTCCTATATGGGATACAAAACGACAAAGATTTATTGCTATGTTAACAATAACAGATTTTATTCTTATATTACAAAAATATTATAAAGAACCGAATGCTAAAATTGAAGAACTTGAAGAACATAGAATTGAAACATGGAGAGAAGTTTTACGTGAATATGAAAAACCATTATTATCTATTAAACCAAATGATAGGTAATTTATATAAGCAAACACAAAAATACACTATAAGATCTTTTTTTGTTTTTCTGTTTTTAGTTTATTTGAAGCAGTTCGTACTTTAGTAGAAAATCATGTACATCGTTTACCTATTGTTGATCCAATATCACATAACGTTATATTTATTTTAACACATAA